GGATGGAGGAGTGTCCTCCATCTCTGGCTCTCCAGAGACCATCGATCAATGCGACCAAAGCGGTTTCTGTGCTGTAACCGGGTCTGAAGCCTGACTGGAAGGGGTCTAGATAGGTGCATTGTTATGAACCTGTTTGGTGATAAATAAGTGGTAAATTCACAATTGCTGGAGGCAAGCTGTTCCACTGATTAATTGTTCTAACTGTCAGGAAATTTCTCCTCAGTTCTGAGTTGCTTCTCTCCTTAATTAGTTTCAAGGCAGGAAGGCCTTGATGTATTTAGACTGTTAACAATTTATTCCTAAAAGCAACTTTTAAGCAACGCCATTTGATAGTGGAGTGACCTTGCATTATTCCCTTTTGGTTAATGGATTCCAGACTCTTTTTAGCATTTATTTTACCCAATGTATACAGCAATCCTCTGAAGAACTTTTAACACCATTATTGTATGCAGGATTGCAAACGTGCTTAGCTCAAGAGAAATATCTACTTGATTCATTTTCTAAAGGAGTGGGTGATTCTATCATTTTGTTCTTCAACACAAGCTATCCAGAACTACTTACAGATGCAATGCCTCAGGTTGCCCTTCCTGGTTTGCGTTGGGTTGGGTTGGTTTTTTTTACAGGCACTGAAGAAAATTCCTAAGGGCTACAAAGCACCTTATCAGGGCATAAGGCTTCAACTTTACCTCAACAAAGAGCCTCACTGCCTCTTCAGCATGAATTCTCAATCAAGGTAAATGTGAGTCATCGATCAGAAACCTACTGTAATCTAGAGAGAGCAGAAAGAACTGTTGCCAAAGCAGACTACTTTCCAAATAAATGTGATCCTTTGTGGAGAAAGAACTTTCTGCTCCCTTTCTGTAATGGAAGCTCTGCTTCAGCAAGAGCTCAACACCGAACAGGATCTGACCCTTACCTTTCAGAAAAAGGGACACATCTTCTAACTGAGGTATATTATCTTCTCGATACCCACAGCACTTTGAAAGCAAGGGCAGATTTTTCAAATACTCTCTGCACGCGTGGGTTGGATACAGCTTATTGAGTTCCCGAAATACAGTGCCCCAAGTCTTGATTTCCTCCTCCGTGAATTTGACTTTGGGAATCGGATCCCCACTGCAGGAAGAATTTAAAAAAATAATTTTCACTTCATTAACATTTGTCCAATGTAAAAAACAATGGTGTTTTGCATAATGGCATATTTTCTATTATTCTGGATACTGGCTATTGGTTGCAAATTGGGTTGAGACAATTGGAAAATGGAAGCTGAGCTTTTAAAGATCCAGGGTATATTACTACAGCTGGACATTGAGTTACATTCAAAGAGGAAAGAGGAATCAGAGTGTTTACAAGGATATATGTAGCACCTGTCCTAGCTGCTTTCCGCCAAATGGATCCTTAAGAAGCTGATATAAATGTTCTCATAAACTCTTTATCACTTTCTTCAATCCCATGGAACACCACCCTGCTTTCTCGATTAGCAAAGGCAGGAAGGGAATCAAGACTTATCCAGAAGCAGTAAAACATTCAGTGAAGGCTGCAAAGAGTTTTAAATACACAATTCTATTTTAGATATTTTTACTAGGATAAGTGTTTTTGTAAAAAAAATTCTTGAGTTCTATTTTGTAACCAAAGTTATAAACATAAGCAATTTCATTTTTTCAACATGAACTTTTTTTTCAATTTTCCCCCTTTCTCAAATTTAAACTTTATTTTTCCCAAGAAAATATGGTCACTACAGGAATAAAACCACTTTGGTGAGATGTAGAAGCCCAACTAATTAACTTTAGAGGAACATCTTACTTTTACTTTGTACAAATCTAGTGTGGATTTTGGAACACCAAGGAATGCTGCCTATACTTTCTGTTTTGTTCAATGTCCTTTCAGCAGATATTTTTAAATGTCTTCAATGCTTTTTATCTGTCAGTTGTTTTGATATCATCATAGTAATAGCATTTAGTACACAGTGATACATACTGTTTGTAATTCATAGCCAAGTCAGCAAAATACTTCCGTCTCTTGCGATAAACATTGTCTTTGAAACCCTAGTGCAAAACAAATAATAATTTCCTCATTCTTAGGATTAAAATGGTGCAGTTCTATCAATCAGCTGGACAGGAGCCAAGGAAAGAAAATTTAGGAACATTTTATGAGGTAAATATATGCAAACCAGAAACCTATATCTTTCTTTTTTATATACTTATTTACCTCAG